ATACATATGTAATTATATTTTGATATATACACACACACATAGATTTCCCTTAAAATGCTCTGCGAAGGTGGAGGCGCAGCGGGACTTAGCCGAGTCCGAGAGGTCGGCATATGCGGTTTGTTGGAGGCGTCAGGTTGGGTTTAGGGATTTAGGGTTTAGGGTTTGAGGGTTTAGGGATCAGGGATTTAGGGTTTGAGGGTTTAGGGCTTAGGGGTTGAGGGTTTCGGGTTTAGGAATTTCGGGTTGCGCAACTACCACCATCAGCAGCACCCACGACAAGAGCCAGGTTTAGGGAAAAGCCATGCGGACTGAACCCTAAACCCCTAAACTCACACTAAACCCAAGAAGCCTTAACCCTGAACCCTAAACCCTAAACCCCTAAAACCCTGACCCCCAAACCCCTGAACCCTAAACCCCCAAACCCCTGAACCCTAAACCCTGGACCCTCAACCCTAAACCCAAAAACCCTAAACCCTAGAATCTAAACCCTAAACCGCGGGTTTAGGGTCTGGGGGTGGGGGGTTAAGGGCCTCTAATTACCCTGCACAGATTGAGTCCAAACCCTCAGCCTAGTCAGCGGCTGAATGAGTGCACTTTATATTCTTTTGGGATAATATGACCCCTCATAGGTTAGGGTTTCGGGGTTCAGGGGTCTAGGGGTTTAGGTGTGAATGCGTACACCTTAAATTTTTTGGGAGAGTATGACCCCTTGCTTGTTAGAACTGAAAGGGTGCACTTTTTTTGTGCTTTTGAACCCAGCAGCTAAGCTTAAACCCTAAACCCTAAACCCTAAGCAACCCAAGACGGAAGGTTACGTCTCCTTGCACAGATCGACGAGCAGGAGCAAGAAGCGATGCAGGCAAGTCATGTTGGGCCTTAGGGTTTAGGGTCTAGGGGTTTAGAGTTGGGGTTGAGGGTTTAGAGTTTAGGGTTTAGGGGTTTAGGGGTTTAGGGTTTAGGGTTTAGGGTTTAGGGGTTTAGGGTTTAGGGGTTTAGGGGTGTAGCGTTTAGGGTCATGTTGGGCCTCTGCGCAGCTCCAGTCTGACAGCTCCAAAGCACGACAAGCTAGATATTCTTAGGGGTTTGGGGTTTAGGGCTTAGGGGTTAGGGTTGAGGGGTTTAGGGTTTAGGATTCAGGGTTTAGGGTTTAGGGGTGAGGGGAGGTCTTAGTAGCTGAATGGGTACACTTTAAACTTTTTGGGATGATATGATCCCTTATAGAACGGAAAGTGTACCCTTTTTTGTGCTTGTGAACTCAGCAGCTAAGTGGTAGGACCTAAGTCTAAAGCCTAAACCTAAAAACCCCCATGCAAACCCTATCCCCTAAAGCCTTACCAAAAAGCCCGAAAGTGAGTTGACGGGAATCCCGAGCAAGTAACATGAAAGCCTGAAGAATTTACACAAAAAAACATTCGCCGGGGTCCCTGATGAATCAACCAGATACTCTAAGATCAACGAAAGCTCCTAGACCCTAAAATCCTAAACCCCAGACCCTAAAATCGGAAACCCTAGACACTAAAATCCTAAACCCTAGACCCTAAAATCCTAAACCCTAAACCCTCAACCCTAAAGCCTAAAATCCTAAACCCCAGGGCCTAGCTTGTATTAGAGGCCCAAAAGTTGGAATCTTAATAGCCTCAGCCCTTAAGAGTACAGTCATCGGGAGTCCCAGCACTATGTGTCCTTCATCCGGTTTCCAACTTTTTGGGGTTTACCCTAGGCTGTGGCAGTGGCAGTTGAAGGTGGCCAATGAAAGCCTTTCGACTGAGACCTCCTCCTGGGATTTAGCTGAGAGGCTCCTTTGGTTTAGAGATTGGGGTTTAGGGTTTCGGAGGGCTTATATAGGTTTTAGGGTTTAGGGTTTGAGGGTTTTAGGGCTCAAGGGTTTAGGAGTTTAGGGTTTAGCGTTTCGGTTTAAGGGTTTCGAGTGTATTGGTTTCGTTCGTCGGGCGCCCGGCACCATGTCCCCAGAGACTTCAGAATCCCCTAATAAAACAAACCTACCTTAAATCATAACATGGGCAGTTCTCTAAATTAGGGTCCCCTTATAAGGGTCCTTTTTATAAGGGTGCCGTACTATATCAGGGGGGACCCAAAAAGGGACCCTATTTTAGAGAACTGCCCATAGACTCCTTAAATCGCAATACGGATCTCCCCGATAAATTTTAAGGGTCTACTCCTGGACTTAAAGGGTTTTGGAGTCTCTGGGTGGTGCTACTTGTGTCATGCTGCAGCCCTTTGCAGGATCGAAGCGTTCCCAAGTTCCAGTCTAGGGTAGGCGTCCTAGCTACCATGCGATCACTGCTTGGGCAAAGGAGCCGCTTTCTCTGGCTCGGTTGCCTTGCTTCTGGGTTCTTGTTAGGAGATTTAATTTAAATGACCACAATAAAGAATAACCATATTGTTTGCTCTAGATCTCCATTTTTGGTAACTTAAATAGAATCCCTTAACCCGTACCCCTTGTAGAATCCGCAAGGGTTCCTTTAAGGGCTCCTTTTTAACAAAAACCCAGGCTTTGGCGGCATGGCAACCGAAGCTCTTCGCGGTCTTGACACGTGGACCCGGCGTTGGGCGTCAGGAGGCGGCTGTTAGGAAAGGGTTTAGGGTTTAGGGCTTACGGTTTAGGGTTTAGGGTTTCGGCGTTGGGCGTCAGGAGGTTACTCCATCGGCGCGACTGACGCCACGGATCACCGCACCTTGGGGCCAAATATTGGGATGAAGCTAGGTGGGGTAATCAGGCTAAGAGTCCTCAATAAGGGATCCTTAATCCTACCTACCTTCATCCCGACTTTTGAGACCCTAAACCCTAAACCCCTAACCCTAAAACCCTAAAACCTAAAACCCTGAAGCCCTAAACGCTAAAACGCTAAACCCTAATCGAGCCCTAACCAAGAGAGTCCATCGCTCGTTTTCCTACCAAGCCACCTGCCCTCCACTGCCGCTGATGTTTGGCTGGCGGATTTATTAGGGTTTAGGGTTAGGGTTTTATGGCTGGGACCTTATGAAGAAACCAGGAAACCAAAGAGAATAATTACAACGGACAGCGTAGGGTCAAAGGTATACGGTATGTGGGACGGGGAAGGTTTGTACCCTAAACCCTAAACCCATGAACCCTAAACCCTAAACCCTAAAACCCTAAAGCCTAAACCCGAAAACCTTAAAACCCTAAACCCATGAACCCTAAACTCCTAAAACCCTAAACTCTAAGTCAGGTAGAGCCAGCCCCCGCTCTTTTGGATATCCTGAACGATGAGTTGGAGAGACACTTCGCAGCTGAATTGAGCAGACTTTCTGAGTTAGGGTTTAGGGGTTTGGGGTTTAGGGTTCATGGGTTATGGCTTTATGTTTTAGGGTTTAGGGTTCAGGCTCTGCCCTACCAGCTACAGCAGACTTTACGAACTTCCCCAAACCCTAAACCCCAAACCCTAAACCCTGTAACCCTAAACCCCAAACCCCAAAAACCCCAAAAAACTAAACCCATATATATATATAACCCAAACCCAAAACCCCCCAAAAAACCTAAGCCCATCTAAACTCCCAAAACGCCAAAAAGCCTAAGCCCATGAAACTCGGCAGCTAACCCTAACCCCCAGGTACCTACTATATAGGGCCCTAGGGGCTCTAGTACCCTATATAGTAGGTACCTGGAGGGTTAGGGTAAGGACTCAGCGGCTCGAACTTGGCGGCTTTGCTCAGGCGCCTGGCGCCTAGGCTGTTCAGCTGGGTCTTATAGGGTTCCTTTAAAGGGTTTTATAGGGTTGTATACGGTTCCTTTAACGGGTTTTATAGGGTTCTATAGGGTTTTATAGGGTTCCTTTAAAGGGTTCTATATAAGGGTTCCGGGATCCTTAGGGGTTCTATAAGGGTAGTTCAGCTTTGCACCACGGCTTAGGGGTTTTAGGGGTTTGGGGGTTTTCCGGTTTTAGGTTTTAGGGTTTTGGTGTGTGGGGTTTTGGGGGTTTAGGGTTTAGGGTTTGAGGGCTTAGGGAGAACCAAAAACCCCCAAAAAAAGAACATATACTTTCCCAGAGCCCTAAACCCTACACCCCAAACCCCTTCCCAGTGGGTTGCCGAGCAAGCCAGGCGAAGTTTCAGCAGAAGCGGCTGGATTCCTCTCTCGTTGCGAAACTTAGTAGCTGAATGAGTGCACTTTATAAACTTCTTGGGAGAATATGACGCCTTATAGTTTAGGGTTTCGGTGTTTAGGGGTTTAGGGGTTTAGGGTTAGGGCTTAGTAGCTGAATGATTGCACTTTAAACCTTTTGGGACAATATGACACCTTATAGAACTGAAAGTCTACACTATTTTCGTGCTTATGAGCTCAGCAGCTAAGGAAACTATGCGCGATCCTGCCAAGAGCTACAAAGGCAGCCAGGCTTAGGAGTAGTTGGAAATAGTTGTTTGTTTATACCTAAACCCTAAAACCTAAACCCTAAACCCTAGTTTTTTTGGTTACTATAGTTCTTTTTTTGCGAAACACGTTTTGCAAGGGGGTCAAGTTCAGGATAACGGAGACTCCAAGACCCCTTGATTAAGCAACATACCTGATCCTTATGATTACGAATAGTAGGAAAAGGGTACCCTTATCATGATATAGAGGGTGGCAAAATCATGATTTGAGGCATGCACTGCTTTACACGTTATCATCAAGGATCTCCCTCTAGTTTCAGGTATGTTGCTTCATTAATTGACTTGTTTCAGAGCCTCTGGGCAGATAAGGGCTTATGGTTTATGAGGTTTCGAGTTTCGGGTAACTTACACGGGCCTAGGGGGGAGTTGACAGGGGTTTCAGGCATAGTTTAGGGATTGCAAGGGTTTAGGGTCCATTATAAGGTGTTGAAATCAAGAGTTCATAAGGGTTGAGAAGGGCATATGAGGGTTGATAAGGATCACGGGGTGATTTCATCAACGAAGGTTCAGGGTTTAGGGTTTAGGGTTTCCGGATGGTATGATATAACGTTCTCCCTCCAAAAGCTACAAAGGCAGTGCAGAAGTCCACGATGAGTCCCCGAGAGCTCTGCACCAGCTTTTGGGCTTGTGCGCATTTGGCAGATGTTGCACCAGAGGCGCTGAACCTCGCCAAGGTTGTTGGGAGAAAGATCCCGGATCAGGTTGCATCACTAGAGCACCAAGGGCTTTCCCAGTGCTTCTGGGCCGCAGCACATCTGCAAAGCACTTCCAAAAAAGCCTCGCCTTCTCTGCAGAAGGTGCTGAGGAAGGTGGCAGCCGCAGTAGCAACAGTTCTGCCTGAGAGAGCTGCGGAACTCAAGCCGCAAGAGCTCTCGAATTGCCTTTGGTCCATGGCGAGGCTCCAGGGTAGCATGCCTGAGCTACTTGAGGCTTTACCAGCTCTGGCAGACCGCCTGCCGGAGAAAGTGCATGAGATGATGCCACAGCACCTCTCAAACTGCCTCTTCGTACCTGAATGAGTACACTTTAAAACGTTTTGGGGTAATATGATCCCTTATAGAGCTGAAAGTGTACACTTTTGTTGTGCTTATGAACTCAGCAGCTAAGGCCTTTGGGCAACAGCTCAGCTGCGTGGCTCTGAGCGAGCCTTGAAGAATGTGGAGCCCCTTGCGAAAGCGATACTAGGCTTAGGGTGTAGGGTTTCGGGTTTAGGGTTATTTTTTTTCTTTTCGGGTTCCTGGGTTCCTAGTATATTACAACTAACCTTCAGAAGTATATACTTTTTTACCAGGGGGTTACTGAAGAGCCTAGGATACGCTCGGAAGCGAAGAGGCTGAAACCACAAGAGCTGGCCACCTGTTTGTGTGCCTCGGCACACCTCAAGGATGTCGCGCCGGAGGTTCTTCAACTTGTGCCCGCTGTGGCCTACTCGGTGGAGGAATGTGAGTTGATACTGGGCCCTTGTTAAGAATAGAAACTTTTATGTAAATCACCAGTACTATAGCTAGATAAGGATTAAACAGAGAATATGCTTTCCTTTATGTTTGTAATCTGGCTTGGCTACCTTGTATCGAAAGCCCGAGGAAACCGCGAGAGCTCTCCAACTGCCTTTGGGCCTCTGCTCACCTCGTACATGAGGCGCCATCTGTTCTGAGCATGGCAGGGGCGCTGGCAGGACAAATTCCGGAGAGCGCACCTCGCATGACCTCCCAGGAGGTCTCTAACTACCTCTTGGCAGTGGCCCTCCATGATGGCGAAGATGGTGGATTGGCAAAGATCGGCGACCAGACGCTCCTAGCGGGGGTCGAGCGGCTGAAAAAGCTCCTGCCGAAGCTGACAAAGCAGCAGCTCTTCATTCACGCGCCCACGGTTCTGTGGGCCTGTGCCAGAGCTGGCCACAGAGATGTGGACCTGCTTACCCTTCTGGCCAAGAAGTACCAAAACCTCGCCAAACGGTTACCCACCTGGTGCCTTGGTCTCTAAAGTCTACATATACATAAATTTATATGTACGTTTGTAAGTTTTGTAAATATGTGTATATAGATTATAAATATAATATATATATATATAGATAGATAGATAGATAGATAGATAGATACACACATATCTGTATGTCTGTATGCATGCATGTACGTTTGCATGTATGTGTGTATGTATGTATGTATGTATGTATGTATGTATGTATGTATGTATGTCTGTCTGTCTCCATGCATGCATGCATGCATGTATGCATGCATGCATGCATGCATGTATGTATATACAGATAGAGTCAGATAGGTATAAAGTGTGTGGGACCCCGAAGCTGGAACACCTTCAAGTCAATTAGAGCATTCCTCCTCCCATCGCGCCTCTCGAGACTGTTTGATTGCGTCATGCGGCGCCGAAGTCCCGGGAAGAAAGAGAGAGCGAGAGAGAGAGAGGCAGAGGGAACATCCGTTCAAAGCCCTCAACAAAGGGGGGCCCCCCAGACGCCGGCGGTGAGGGTCTTCCAAGAAAAAAAGGGCCAAAGCACAGCACAGGAAGATGACGGCACCCAACAACCGCAGGGTTTAGGGCTTGCACCACAACAGATATATTCATGAGCAGCAGGGATCTGTGCCCAGATTTCAGAACATGAGGATCGAAATTTACTGTAGGCTGCGGGGAGTATCAGACACCCCAAAAACCAAACCCGAACATGGGTGCCTTAACACTTAGAATAGGGATTTCGGGGCCCATTATA